CGTTAGTTCTGGCATCTCACATTTGGAACTCGTGCTTGCACGAGAGTGTGCCACGAGGCTCGTATCCGGATGCATTGTGGAGCGCATTCCTCGACTCATTCCCAGAGGAGATCCCGGTCAAGCGGTTGCAGCTAAAACCTTGATGCCAGGTTCTCCCGCCCACTTGTCACCACCCAAGACTTCATTTCGGGGTTTTCATTGAACCACCGATAAGATAGGAATGCGTCAAACAGCCATTTTGCTCGTCGCCGCCGCTCTCGCAGTCTGCGGCCATGACCGTTGTGGCGGTACGCCGACCATGACCCCGACACCGACGCCGACGCCGACGCCGACGCCGGTACCCATGCCTTTTGCCGATGGCGCCCACGTCAACATATTTGCGGACAACGCCGCTGGGTTGAACGGGTGGGCTAACATTGTACCGGGCGCGCTCTTTACAGCATGGGCGATCCCGACCGCCGTTTGCGATCCAGTGAAATTTACCATCAGCACCGTGCCGGGGGGCATTACGATCAACGTTTACCAGTATCATCTGCAAACGTGCACAACGTGCGCGCCGCTGCCGAACAATGGCCAAGCGATCAGTTTCGACACAACCACCGGCTCGGTGTGGACGACAACGACGCTTGACGCTACGCACTTCACTCTTCTCAACGAAGACAAGTTGTGCTTGACACGCTGTCCAGGGTGCATCTCCGCTACAGACGCTGGTGACTCGGTCGTGGCGCAGCCGTGCAGCAACTTGCCGACGCAAGTGTGGACCATCACGCCCGCGCTAGAAGGTGCCGAGGCAAGTGGGAATCGCCATCCCAGTGGCTTAGCACCTCCGTAAAAGCCATTTTAACAAAAGATTGCATCATCTTGTACTGTGTGTTCGAAGGATCAGCGAGTCGTACCGCTGTACGATGGGGACGGTTGAAGTGCTCTTGTTGCATGGGGCGGTTTGCAGAGTCTGCTCGGACGGGCCAGAGTTGAGACGACTCCTTTGGTCGGCCTTGGATGACTCGAAGTGGACTCGTCCCTGCTCTAATGTCGGCTCGCCGAGCGTGTTCGGGAGCCTGGTGTTTCGATGGAGAACTGAGACGAGGTTCGTCAGTTCCGACGAGCGCACGAAGAAGATGAAGCTCAAAATCGGAGCCCAGAGGTCGTGGGTGATGCACATGCGAGTTCGTCTTGACTGCCAAAGCTGACTCTGTCGCCTCGATGAGCTCAATGACGCCAAGAGTTGGAGCAAGCTTGGAGGCAATGATGTTGCGCTCCGCCGTCTCTAAGCTCGACAGCAAATGCAGGGAGCGTTGATCTCGTCGCTGGGAGCTGATGCACGAGCGGGCCAAGTTGAGCGCATCCTGATGAGTGTGCTTGAGCCGTCGGGTAACCGCGACATCGGATTGTGGCTCACACCGAGCGCAATCGTCGTACTACCGGCGCTAAGACAGTGGCATCTACATTGCATGTATGAGGCAGCAGTCGCAGCCACAGCGATAGCAAAAAACAAATTTTATCAACGAATATGCAGAGCGCCCACAAGAGGTTACTGCGGCGCCGTGATGGCCATGAAGCGCTGCTTGACAAGCTCCAAGCACGCGCTGCGCTCGTCGACGATGAACGCAATATGGTCGATAGTGTCGTCGTCTTCGTGCTGCTACAACGTATTCCATCTAGCAAAGCTCGACGACTGCGACTGTACCTTGAAGTGGAAGACGACCGAGTTGGGCACCGTGCGGCGCGACGTGATCTTGGTCAAAAGCTTGAGTCGCCGGCGCTCGTCGATGCGACCCCAGCCCGGCCGATCGACCTCGGGCTCCACCGACAAGAGGTAGCCTACACGACACCTCAGCTCGCCATCCCTACATAGTCGAGTCTACCGTTGGTGACGACAAGCTCGCACGCGACGGCGCTGGCATCTTCGACGAGCTTCTTGGCCGGGAACCACTGAAACTCTTCTTTCGCTTGCTTCATCTCGTCGACGTTGATGACGAGCGGTGGCTCTCGCCAGATCGGGCGGCCGTCGCTCTCGTCCGGGAGCTGGTCGCTGCTGTTGGTCTTGGTCAAGCGCTGGACAGCGCCGGCCGCTTTCTCCATCCACCCGTTCATCGTAAAGAGCTTGGCGGGCTTACTCTCGTCAAGGTCGTCGGGCGAGACGACTTCGGGCGGGGCATCGCCTGTCCGACATGGCGCCGACGTGGCCGTGTACGGGCCGTACCCCGTCTCGTACCCCGCTCGGAGTCGCACGACATATGCTGTCCCCGGCGTGAGCTCGGTGAGCACACACGAGTTCTCTGTCGGCACGAGGTCGCGCGAGATCCAGAGGGCGGCGAGTCGGTTTTTTGAAAACTGAATGCAGTACTTTGTGACACTCGGGTCCAAGAGCGCTTCCCACGACACGACGATCGTTGTCGCCCCCGTCGCCTGCAGCGTCAGACCCGACGGCGCCGTCGCCATGTGCTTCTCGACGCTCTCGCTGTGGCGCAGCGGCGGCTCCTTGTCCATCGCGAGCCGCTCGAGGACCGGCGCGCCGTCGGCCGTCGTCTCGAACGCCCACAGGTCCGTGTCTTGGAGTCGCACAAACACGTGCGGGCCGCGCAGAATCTTCTCGTCGCACTTGATGAGCGACCCTTTCTCCAGCGCCACCGCCTCGGTCGACGCATCGTAGGACGGACCGGCGCGCGCCCGAAGACCGAGGAGGACGCGGTAGTAGAAGAGACCCGACTCGACCACGTCCGGGCACTCGCCGGCGAGGAAGACGACCACGCTGTTGTGACTCGAGGTACCGTGGCTCGGCGAAGTCTTTGGGCTCAAGAGCCGGCGCGACGACGCAGTCTCGATCGTCGTCATGGTCACGCTCGGCTCACTGTACGTGCCCCAGTTGGTCGGCGTGCCGCAGCGCACACGTAAGAGGTACTTCTCGCCCGGCTCGAGACCCACAACGGTGCCACTCACGTCGCTGCTGTGGTCGACAACGCTGCCCGATTGGCTCTTGACGGCCAGCGTGGCCCACGGATGGAAGCGGTGTTCCGACTGAAGCGCGTACTGCAGCTGGTACCGGGTCGCGCCGGGCACGTGGTCCCAAATGATCGAGAGCGAGTACGGGCCGTTGCGGAGGAGCAAGGGCGCGTGGGGCGGTACCGAGAGCGCGTCAAGTACATCCAAGAGCCGGGTCGGCGGCGAGCTGAACTGCAGCGTCACGGGCCGCGGCGCGCGCTGGAGCATCTCCATGACGGCGTGGAAGCGGAGCCCGCGGATATTGGCGCCGTCGATGGTCTCGAGGACGTCGCCACGCTCAAGCAACCCGGCTGCTTCGGCCTGGCCACGCGGCACGATGCTGTCGACCGTGATTTGCGACCGGTCGACGCCTTTGAAGAGAATGCCGAGCTTCCCGGCCTCGAAATGTACGCGCTTCCAGTCGTCGGCCATCGACTTGGACGAGCGGCGGAGGATCTCCTTGCTCTTGACACAGACCTCGACCCACTCGTCGTCGCCGACCATGAGCGCCGACTGCGTCACGCCGTCGAGCGTCGGCGGCGTCGTCGGCGCCTTTCCAAAGAGCAGCGGCGGCTTCCCGATCGTGCTCTTGAGCCGCTGGAGCGACTGAAGCGCGGATTGCGTCGGGAGCTTCCCCATCAATCGCTTCGCCTTGACCTTGAGCGATGACGCGCTCGTGTCATCGACGTACTCGCCCACGACAAGTTGTTCGACGACGCTGTCGTCGAGCGTCGCAAGGAACTCGTCGCGGACTGCGTCGAGGCCGCCGAGTACTTTGCTCACGTGCGCAAAGTTGTGTTGAAGAAACATGACAACGAAGCGGGAGATGGCCACGTCATCGACCAGGTCCGGGTCGGTCAACGGCGACAAGGCCGCGGTCTCTGGCTCGCTGCTGCGACTGGCCTTGCTGCCGACGAAGCAAAAGTGGCAGTCCTTCATGCGGCTAAACCCATCCAAGAGCACGCGGAAGGCTTCGGGGTTGGCCGCGACGTCCGGATCAATGTGGTACGAAAGGCTGAGGTGAAACTCTTGGAATGCGGGGAATGGGCGGCAGTCGAGGATGATGAGGTTCATGCTCGAGGCCAGCGTGCCCTGGACCTTCTGCGCCATGTACGACACGAGCTCGGACGGGTGCAGCGTCAAGCACGACGTCGCGCCGATCTGCTTGAGCGCCGAGACGGTCCGGTCCGTGAGCGGGCGATAGCACACCTACATACCCGACTAAGATGATTGCTAAGTACATTGGATACAAGCACCGAGAGAATGTCCTTGCGGAACGACGTGGGCGTGACGTGCATGGTCTGCAGCGCCTTGGCCAAGAGCGACGTTGCGTGCTCGACGCTCGTGATGCTGAGGCTCGTGAGCACCTGCGGCAGCTCGGCGGGGTCGGCGCGCAGCAGCAGCTCGCGCTTGTCTTGGAGGAGCGCGAGCGCGACAAAATGCAGCAGCGTCGGGTCGTCGTGCAGCAAGACCGCGTCCCATAGCGCAAACACCACGTCGGGCGCCGTGTTGCGTGCAAAGAGCGTCATGAACCACGGTGTCACGTACAGCTCGGGCGTCATATCGTGCTCGTCCAAGTAGCTACCTGCACGCAACTTCAGACGTGAGATCGCAAGCAAGAATTCTCTACGTACAGAGGCGCGGGTCGTGGTAGAGAAGGAGGAGGCGCAGCAGCCGCATGGAGCACTGGAGCGACCGGAACTCGCGGTCCGAGTAGACGTTGGTGAGGTACTTGTCGATGAACGTGTAGTAGCACTGGTACACGGCGGCCGGCGCGTCGAGGCCAAAGAGGAGGAGGAACGGCGCAAGCACTTCGTTCATGCCTTGCTTGTACCGGATCGTTTTGCACTTGCAGTAGTAGGTGAGTACGTGGAGAAGACAGTGTTCGAGGCCCGCCCGATCGTTCTCGTCAAAGTCCTTGGGCCGCGTCCGAGGCGCGTCCGCGCGGATCACGCGCTGGTTGGCGTCGTCCGCGTCGATCGGCGCAAAGATATCGCACTCGCCCGACTTGGCGCCGCCCGGCAGCAAGAGCGCTTGCCACACGCGCGCGCGGCGACTGGATGGCACGTGGCCAAGGTCGTGGCACAGCTGCGTGATGATGTACGTATCCGGGCGCCGGCGGTTGAGCTCCGCGTCGAGCGACCGCATGAGATCGTCGCGTGAGATCGGAGCGTGCGGGTCGTCGAGATGGCTCATCGGTGCGTTGCTCGTCGACATGCAAGATTGGGTGTCTTTCGCCACCTCTGCGCTTGGCTGCGTCCCACCGTCGTTGGGCTGCGCTTCGCCTGCGCCGCCAGCTGCCTCCATGGGCGCCTTGGGATCGACCTCCTGCGCCTTGGCATCGACGCCCGATAGCGCTTCCGCGTCGACCATGCACTCGGCCATCGCGCTCGCCTCGGTCTCGCTCGTCATGGCAAATCCCCGATTCGAAGCCATCTTGCAGTATCCGGATACCAAGATCCCGGTTTCCATTTTTGGCCAGAAAGGCCGACCCGCTTTGGCACTGCTCGACGCTCGCCAAGGCTGCAACGTAAGACTGCAGTCCGCAGGACGCTGAAGACGAAGACAGCGCGCTGATGCGAGTCAAGGCGAGGTAGTATATAGTTAAGTGCGGCTAATGACGCTGCGCGAGGTCTTCGACGGTCGCCATCACGTCGTCGATCGTGACGGGCGGGCTGCCGTCCATGGCGCCGTCGCCGTTGAGCAGCTCGACGACCTGCGCCATGCGCGCCTTTGGCAAGTCGAGGAAGCTCTCGACGAGGTCGCCGTCGATAAAGTTCTTGGCTTCGCTCACGTGCCGCTTGCTCTCGTACATGCGCCAGTCCTTGTGGAGGAGCCCGCCGACGCCCTTGCCCACCTTGTTGATGGCACTCGTGAGCCGCGAGAGAAACGTATACTGCGCCGCATCCAATGGCAAGACGACGCCGAGCATGCCGCTGACAGTCCCAAAGAGCGAGCTCGTCGCGCCCGGCGGTTGCATCACGAGCGAGCCGTGCCGGAACCGGTTGACGAAATCGCCAAGGTGAAACTCGCCCACGCACTCGAGGCGCGCGCGCTCCTCGTCGGTCGTCGCACCGCTCTGTCGCTGGACGCAAAAGAGGTTCAAGTCGGCCTCCGCCCCGAGCACGTGGTCGTCGTCCAGCATATCGATCGCCGTCATCCAGTTCGAGTTGAGGTCCTTGGCGACTTCCTCGACGCTGCCATCGAGCGCCTTGTAGTTGAGCAGCGAGACCGACTTCATGAGGTCGCCGACCGCGATAAAGTCGCCGCGCGACTCGAGGAAGAGCACGAGCGTGTGGCCGTGGTGGCCGCATTCGGCGACGAGCTCCTTCTCGAGGTCGTCCGTGTCGCTCCACTTGTACACTTGGGTCTTGCTGTTGATGCCCGCGAGCAGCTTGTTCTGGAACGCGTTCAGACAGTAGACCGCGCCCTTGACTTCCTTCTCAGCCACGAGCACGAGCTTGGACGCGACGACCTGGAAGACGAGGATGCGGCCTTGGTGCGGCTCGAGCTCCTCTTCATGCACGTACGCCGTCCCGACGCAGTAGTAGCGGGACGCGTCGTCGAACGACGCCGACACGATCGCACACCCAATCTCAAACGGATCCAGCTTGTATGCATGCAGCGTATCGAATGACTGGTCGTCCAGAAGGCGCACGTAGCCGACCTCGACCTCCTCCATGTGCGTCTCGTCCAGCGTGTACTTGATGGTCGTGACGCCGAGCGTGTGCGACACCGGGTCGTGCGCGAGCCGGCGCGGCCACTCGTGCAGCGGGACGCTCTGCACATGCAGCTTTTGAATGTCGTCGATCGTGCCGAGCGTGAGCTCATCCGGCGACGCGAGCGCGAGGCAGTCGGGCAGCGCGGGCGAGTCGAAGGCGCACATGACGCTCACTTCTTTCGCATTCACGTTGGAAAAGTGGAGCTTGCCGTTGCTGCTGTAGATGACCGTCGGGCGGTCCGAAGCCGCAAACACGTGCAACACGTCCTTGGACCGGAACGCCGACAACAAGATCGGCTGCGTGCCGAGGCTAATGCGCTTGAGCGGCGCGAGCGACCCGTCGTGCGCAAGCGTAAACACGAGCAGCGTGCCGTCGCCCATGCCCACAAGCAGATGCGCCACGCTCTCAAAGGCGATTGTGAGCAGCGAGCGCGGCAGCACGTCGCCGCCGAGCAGTTGCTTGGTCTCGAGCGCCAAGCTCGGCAGCGACAGCAGCGACACCGAGAGCTCCGACCAGAGACCGACGACGACGCGCGACGCCTTCGGCAGCCGCGTCTCCCAGTGGCGGCCGTCCACGCTCTTCGTGTCGCTCGTCGGCGGCGAAATGTCGAGACACGCAATCTCGTGGGCCATGCGCGTCTCTGCCACGAGATGCAGCTGCGCGCCGTCGATTTCAAAGTAGATGAGGACACCGCCGGCGATCGCAACGACGGCTTGGGACGGGTTGGCAGCCGCGACCGTGATGCGACCCGGCGCCTTCCACGTCGCAAGGACCGCGCTCGTCGCACACGCAATCAGTCGCACGTCAAACTCGGTGACTTGAAGCCACGCATCGCCAAGCACGTTGCGGCAGAGGAGCGTCTTGGACGGGTTCAAGCCCTGGATCTCGTGCTCGGCGAGCTCAACGTCACCGTCGTCGCCGTCGGTCGAGAACCCCAACACGCGCGTCTCCGACACGAAGCTCTGGACGAGGTACGCGTCTTGGTCGGCGGCAAACGACATGCGGAGCGCCCACATGCCCTTGATGCCCGGGAGCTCGGTCGCCGCTTGTTCGTTGATGCCAATGCCGTTGCGGATGATGCGAAGGGACCCGTCCTTGTACGCGCCGCTGCAGGTCACCACTTGACCTTGGCCTTGGCGGTCGAGGTCCATTACGACAAAGTCGACAATCGGGCCAATGTTGACGTAGGCGTCGAGCACCTCGAGGTACGAGCCGGTTGTCGTGTCGCGCGCGGGAAGGAGCTTGACGAGCTGCGAGTCGCCGGTCGCGCTGCCGACAAAGACGACGCCGTTGTCAAGGTACGAGAGCGTCGACGCGATGCTGGTCTCGCCGAGCACTTCAAGCGCAATGCCCGTCACCACGTCCTTGTTGCGCTGCAGAGCGACGACTTGAAGGAGACCAAACTGGTCGGCCAAGAGGAAGCGCGAGCCATCCCGGTCGACCTGCCCGTACACCTGGATGATCGTGCTCTGCATTGAGATAGCATGGCACGTGCTGCCGTTGTGGTACACGATCATCTGCTGGCTCACGATGAGGACGCCGCCCGCGGGCGCCGGCACGGGAATGAGCAAGTTGGCGCTCGACTCGACATGCGACTGGCTCCACGGCCCTTCGGCCAGCTCTCGCTCCTTGGCCAAGACGACGTACGTCTTGACGTGCCGGCCCTTCTGGTCTTCGTACAGCACTGCGATCGTGGGCTTGGCGCAGCCAAAGAGAAACTTGACGTCGATGACGCGCAGCTCGTCCATGCGAATGTTGAACGCGTCCGAGAGCTTGCCACTTGCGTCCATGGGAATCACTTTAAAGTAGCCTACGAACAATCGTCGGTTGCAGCGACTCGGCACTCGCATCGTACCTTCGTAGAGGTTCATGCCAATGAGGCGGCCTTCCGGGTCAATGTTGCCGCTCGTGACGACGTCGCTCATGCGGCCAATCGGGTCGCGAATGTTGCCTTGGGCCCGCGTGACAATGCTCTTGGTCGCCGGATCGTACGCGAGGACGCAAAACTGGTGCCTACCGCCATGCATTGTACCCTTTTCGCCGACGATAGAGGCCATGGTACCGCTGCGTGCACACAAAGAGGAGGTCCACGGGCGACGAGGGCGGGCGAAACACCTCGAGCATCGTGATGCGACCATAGATCGCCACGTCGTGGACGGGCGTGAGCCCTTCGGGCGTAAGCAGGTGGATCTCGACGCGCGTGGTCTTGGCAAGCACGAGGTTGACGTCGCTGGCGCCCGTGAAGCGCCCGACGACCGAGTGCGAGACGCTCGTCGGCTTGTGCGCAGTGACCACGTAGCTCTTCCGGTCGTCCATCCTGCGGCCGCGAATCGCTTTCTTGAGCCAACCGCCAATCCCCAGCCTCGATGCTCCACATACAAAACTGCAGTGACTTGGCCGCATCCGGATAACACTCATCATATCCGGCGCTCGCGAAATCTTTTGGTGGCGCCACGACGAAGGATCGCGAAGTCGCCGCGCTTTTCGAGGGAGTTGGCGCCTCGCTTCGGGATTGACGATACCTTGCATGCAACCCACAAGCCCCGCAAGAAAGGAAAAGCCCGCTCTCTATTTATAGCGCGCGGGCTTGGAGCGCGCCATGAACTTCGACCTCGACCTCAGGATGGACCTCAGCATGGGCCTCAGCATGGACCTCAGCATGGGCCTCAGCATGGACCTCAGCATGGACCTCAGCATGGACCTCAGCATGGACCTCGACCTCGACCTCAGCACGGACCCGAGCATGGACCTCTTCTTCGACCCGGCGATGGAGACAATCGACGTCGACCTCGGCATGGACGTGGCCGACGCCTTTGACGTCCCATCGCCGCGCGAGGCCGTCGCCTGGCCCGCATACGAGGACAACGACGAGAAGCAACTGTCGGTGGACGACGTTGAGAAGCAACTGCCAGTGGACGACGACGCGAGCTCGACCGACAGCAGCAGCACCGACGAGCGTCAGACGCAGCGCGGCCGGTGGACGCAGGACGAGCACGACCGGTTCCTCACCGGCTACAAACTCTACGGTCGGTCGTGGAAGCTCATCGCGACGCACGTCGTGCCAACCCGGTCCTACACGCAGGTCCGGACGCATGCGCAAAAGTACCTCCTAAGTCGGCAGTCGAGCTCCAAGGACCCGCGGAGCCTCCCCAGCTCGCCCCTCCTCCTCTCGCCGGCCCATGGTCGTGTGTCGTCGGTCGTCGCATGAGTTGAGATCCAGTGAAGTCGTCTTACATGTTACATCGTCGTCGTTGCCTGCATACGACAGAGCCGAAGCGCGACGAGGTGGATCACGTGCAACATGGACATGACTTGGATGTTGCATCATCCATCCGATGATACGGTGAGGAGGAAGGGTACTGTACTTTATTATACGACCAAATATGTTAGACTTGTTAAATAGGAGCGCCTTAGCAGGACAGGCGCTCGGGCAACGACCCGGCGTCGGCCATCTTCTTGTGCTTGATGCAGAAGCCGCTCATGCGACCCGCGTGGTTGCAGCCGTCGACGCTGCAGCGCTTGCCACCGCCGTGGCTGTAACACGCGCCACCGACTTGGGCGCTCCGCGAGCAGCCGTCGACGTTGCAGCGGCGGCCGCCACCATGGCTCACACAAAAGCCGCCCTTGTGCGCGCAGCGCTGGCAGCCTTCCCACTTGCAGTAGTGACGGTTCCCGTGCTTACCGCCGCCGTGGCTGTAGCAGGTACCACCGGTCTGCGCGCTCTTGGTGCAGCCCTCGACCGTGCAGCGGCGACCGCCGCCATGGGCGATGCAGAAGCCGCCCTTGTGCGCACACTTTTGACAGCCGTCCATCTTGCACATGTGGCGGCCGCCATGGTCCATGCAGACGCGTTTGCGCTTCGCTTGCTTCTCGCAGCCGGGAAAGATGCACACGCGGAAGCTGGGCGACGTCGCGACATCGGGTTTCTGGGCTTCCCGGGCGTGGTGGAGGCAGGCGCCGTGGACCTTGGCGAAGCGGTGGCAGGTAGCGTCGTAGGCGCAGAGGTGCATGAGCGGTGGCAGCGTCACGTGCTGGCGGGTGGGCATGATGGCGCGACTTGGAAAATGAGCAGCCGTGGGATCGATGTCATGTTTCGGTCTGAACCGGCTCCACCACGTATTTCCCACAAGTGTCTCAAACCGTCGTCGCAGGGATTGGTGCAAATGCATGCACGGGTTTGTAAGCCACAAATCTCCGGTGCGCAAGCAAGTGGTCACCGTTTCGCGGCCGAGAGAGGGCATGCGGACGGGCGGCGTTCAGCGGCCACTGGCACCATGAGCTCAAAGATGACCATACCGGGGCTGGGCACCGAGACGGTTTGGAGAAAGGTTGGCCACGAAAGCTGACGCGATCGCTGGAATAAAATAGCTCCGACCATGCGGCAACGAACCTCGCAAACTGTATGGGTCCAGCGCCGACCACATAATAATATCGAGTGCGTCGGCGATTCGCATGTGATCGATTTCGCAACAGCGGGCGGGGGAAAGCGAAGTTCGAAGCCGCGACATGTGCCAGCGTCCACGGTCAATCGCACACTTTCACTGGCGATTTGTATCGAGTGGATTGCGTAAGGCAGGGTGACACTTCGCGCGACCACAACGCCACGAAAGTAACCTTGCATCTGTATGAAAACAGTCCCGACGTATAACGTCATCGACCAAGAAGACTTAGTTCTTGTATGAGGGGCGTGTAGACCATGTCTTCTGTCCGTCGAAGAAGCATGCCCGAAGTTCGGGATGCTGACGGGGCTTTATAGGCAGATCCTTCAATGCAATGTTATGCCACTTATAATCCACGTTGGCTCAGTCATGTGCGGTTGTGGGTAGGGTGTTTCTCTAGAAATTGAGGCGTGCAGCTATTACTGAGGGAAGCTCCACGTCACCCGTCATGTTATGCTTGCATCACGTGGTGCGGCCGCCACAACGCTACTAGTAGCTGCAAAGGTAGCGATGGTCGCTCGAGGAGACTTCGGCGTCGTTCACTTTTCTATCGTCGCAGCGCAGGTCCAGTGGAGCGACTGGTTCGAGGCGCGCCACATGGACTACCGTTGCCGCAACGGGCCTATGAGCGTCCGTTGTTCATGACACTGAGGGGGTAGGGTTATTCCAGCCGGTGATTGCAGACATTCTGTTCGACTTTGCGTTTTTCTAACACGGTTACTTACCTCGAACGAAACCCCAACCGCTGAGTCGATGACGAGAGATGTTATAACGCACTGAACCGTTGCTGGGTCGTGTTATGTCAAGTGTTACACACAACGCCTCTCAGAACTGGTGCTGAACTAGGACTAGTAGGGCGAGAGGACGCGGCAGACGTCGCACCACGAAGGCTGTATTGGTGTTGTAAGCAGCGCGTGGACCGCAGGCCTTTGCCGCACGAGGGCCTCCATGCGCTGCCGCGTCTCGCGGAGGCGGCGGCTCAGCGGCGCCGAGGAAGCCTGGTACTCGATGATCATGCGTGTGAAGAGGAGCTCGAGCTCGTTGCCTTGACGCTGCTCGTACAAGCACTCGAGGCCGTCGTAGAGGGCGCCTTGCCGCGGTGCGCTACAGCACGGGCACGGCGCCTTGCCATCAATATGCGCCACAAGCGTATCGAGGAGCGTTACGAGCGTCTGCATCACGGGAAAGTCATTTCGCCGCAGGAGCTGCATGTACAGCTTGTGTTGGTGTTCCGCAACGTACAGGATGCAATGCAGGTGCAGCGTCGTGTGGATGTCGAGCCACGGCTCAGGCGACGAGAACCCGAGCTCGAGCCAGCGGGGGTGCGGCGTCAACGGCGTCTCGAGCGGCGACGAAGGGAACGAGACCCGCCAGAGCGCGGCCAGCTGGTCTTGCGCAAAGACGCTTCCGACGTCAAGCGTCTCCCATCGCCCGACAAGCTCCTGCAGCAGCTCTTCCGCGATCGCTTCGGACGTCGATTTCCACATCCTGCGGCGAGCTTCGATCTTGGTTGTACGGTTACTGTCTGCAAATTTATCCGGATGCTGTGGTGTTTGACAGCAAGGCAAAGTGGCAAGTCGCCGTTGCATGATGAGCTCTTCCACCACTGCTTCCACCACGCTTGGCCTCCTACCCTCCTCACCTGCTAAAGCTCCTCGCGTCCATGCAGATGATTGACCAAGCCTCGCCAGAGGCAAGGTACTGCATGTGATAGTGTGATAGCCCTTGCCAGCACCAGCGGAGATGGCTGCCTTGCATGATGATGCGTCGGGCAATGGTGTGTATTTCGAGTGGTTGTGGCGTCTATGTCTTACTTGGGCGTGGCCGGAGGAGGCGCCCACTTGCCACGCTTGCGCAGGAAGCGCGCGATCCACGGCGTGACGGCGATCGTGAGTCCGCCGCGCACTGGACCTACGCAGGACCAAATGAGGAGGAGCAGGAGGATCTTACGCCGACGCACCTGTGGCTACGGTCGCCAAGTACGCGAGCAAAAGCGTGCCTGCATTCGGGTCGATCTTGGACATGTCGACGAACGGAATGTGGGCTTCGCGGATGTCGATGCCATACTCGATGGCCGAGAAGGCGACGCCGAGCGTGGTCACAAAGACAGACGAGTGCACAACGACCGCGACCTTGCCGTACTGCTTCATGATCTCCTTCAACTTGGCCGTGTGCTTGGCGAACGCCTCTTTGGAGAAGTCCCTCCGCGGCAAACTCCGGG